CACAAAGCGCACGATACTGGGGGTCATCGATATTCGAGATTTGATGCTGACTAGAATTTTTTTTTTTAGCGGCGAGGTTCGCAAGTCGATCGCTCGTGTTCTCACCGTCATCAACGCCAACCAGCGCGCTCAGCTTCGCCTGTTCTACAAGAACAAGAAGTACCTCCCCCTCGACCTCCGCCCCAAGCTCACCCGTGAGATCCGCCGCCGTCTCACCAAGCACGAGCGTACCCAGACCACCGACAAGCTCCGCAAGCGTGCCATCCACTTCCCCCAGCGGAAGTACGCCGTTAAGGTATGATAACTCCGGCAATCCTGGGCAGGGAACAAGTGGAATGGGGTTCATAGATGTTCATCTGTGCCCTCTCCACCAAAAACCTCGCCCATCGAACGAGACAAATCAGCCGAACACAATGCTGACGATTTATTTGTTGCAGGCTTAAACGCAGAACTTGTTCGGATATGGAGTTTTGTGGGAAGACGTTGCTGGCCTTGGACATGAGCAGGACGTGACTGTGGATCCGAATGCTTGTGTAGGGGTCGGTTTTCTCTTTTTTTTACATCCAAAAAATGGAATTTGATTATGTATCTAAATAGGATGCAAATCGACTCTTGACATGACATGATTTTAGACATTCTCCAAGTTTCCTTGCTCTTGCATTCATGTAAGGCTAGTGAAGAGATCACATGGATATGTATAGTCTGCCAGGACTCGATGATATATATTTCTACAATATACATATCTTGAGTGGTCTACATTTTTAGTCTACATGACTCAAGTCCAAAGCAAAAATACTGACGGACTGGGCATATATTGCTGTAGTCACTAAACGCATCTAGATGCCAGGCATCCTGACACCACGAGAAGTACGCCTAAGATAAAAAAAACATACCAACATATCCTTACATCCTAGATCACCCAACCCCACACCACCTTAGTTCAAAGCCAGAATGCGAGCCATAGTATCCAATTTCAGCATTAAGTGAGGTCCTAAGTCTGGCTAGTCCTATTGCCATTGCCATTCGCACCCCCAGTCTTAACCGTAAGATCCCCAGTATCTGTCTCAAGAACCCACATCCCCCCGCAAAGACAAGACCGCAACAGCCCCAGCTTAGCAATCATCTTAAACGACAGCAGTGACCGTGGCAGATTCGTATCACCAGAGACCTCACAGCAGCGCGCACACCTACGCTTCTTCAGCGGTGCCACGCGACCATCATTCCCCAACGGCAACGGCGGACGCAGCGGACACTTCTTGAGGATATCGACCTCGCGCTGCTTGCGGTACAGCACCGTGCGCCTGTCATTCCCAAAACCAAGCCAGCTATAGTCCCCGAGGTAGATAGCCATGCGATTGATTTCGGATTTGAGCGCGGGGACTGTCTGCCGCAGGAGGGTGGCGACGGCTGTGGTGAGGACTGGCGGGATGCGCGCATTAACTAGTAGTTCCTTTTCCGGACCCGGTCTTTCGGCGTCGCCGAAGCCAGCGCCTTGATAGGCGTGCTTTACGGCTGAGTCGACTCCTGCTAGGAACTTCTCGTACACGTCGATCCGTACCGGTGATGATTCTAGGGTTTGGCAGATCTCTGTGTAGTAGATTCGGGAGTCTCCTATAAGGGAGGCGGGGTTTGCGCTTGCGAAGCCAGCGTGCACGCCGCGGAGACCACGGCAGATGAAGCGGAGGAAGGCGCGCGACATGCTTGAGAGGAGGATTAAAAGGGGGAGGGAGAAGGAGTTTTTCACTGTGAAGATAGTGAGATAGGTGATCTTGAAGCTGGAGTTTGTTATGGGGAGGTTCCTTACATTTCTGTGTGAATGCTTCTGGGTCATTGAAAACATCTTCGAATTCATCGGCCATATCGAAGATTTCGTTCAGAAGAAAGTGAGAGAAGTCTAATGTCCATTTGGTGTTCCCCAATACCATACGTAGAACATCTTTTGTTTTAATTAGCGACAGATCATGATGACTGAGTTGGCTTTCTTTGAACTCACCTGGATCATGCGATTCAGTCTGGCCCCCTTTATTATACTGGAAGAAATATGCAAATAGAACCGAGGCATGTCTGAGTTGAAGGCTCGCCCACGGCACGGCCGATGAGAGGTTGCGACGCTTCAGTCTCCCCCTGAAGCCCAGTCCCGCCTGTAAGCTGAGACAACGAGGTATGTACGGATGGCTCATGAGTTTGTCCTGTTCGGCCGTAAAATTGCAATTAATCGGCAGTGCACGATACACCTCGCTGATGAATGTGATTTGAGCCTCTTCGGGGGTTGTCAGCAAAGTTGATGATATCAATACGAAATTCTTGGGAGCACTCACCTGGTGATAACTGCCCGAGCGCAACCATGAGGATGTCATCTGTATTGAAATCAACTCCACAGCCTCGACTGAATGCCAATGTCAACGCTGCAATGGCTGCAGAAAAATTGTCTACATGTCTTGGTCAGTATTGTTATTCCACACAGGTGACCTGATTGGTGATCTGGAAAACACATACTCTCGTCATAGAGACCCTCTGTGGATCCGAACGAATGCTCCATTACCCTCAATTGCATATGTCCGTCAATATCCAGCGTAACGGCAACGCAAGCGTTAGGAGAGAAAGCAATGTGAAGACCTGGTCCATGTCAGTTCTAGCCACATATCTGAAAGCCAGATCGATTAGTTCCGGACATACCTGATGTTTCGAGTGGGTAGTGGAACCCGGCCTGGGCCAGGCAGGTCACTGTGGTTGAATCGTCAAGGCCGTTCAAAACGGTCATTGTCCGTGTGTCATAGCATGTTATTGAGCTGTCTTCATGACTGACAGCCAAAACTGTTCCATGCTCTACTAAATCGACCGAGACAATATACTTATCGCAATAAACGTCCTCCAACCTGCGCAATTCCATTTTGGGCTAAGGATAGGTCAGTCTTAATTTCACGCAACAGTCAAACCTCAGGAATTCGCACCTTTGCTTGGGCGTTGCTCTTTTTTGACGTCACCTCGTCAAACTTGGGATGGAGAGTCTGCGTTGCAGACTCCAAATGCCACCTCACAATTACACTCGGCGGACCTTGCTGGTCTGGATAGTCATGTATGGCATGGAGGGGTTTCGACAAGACAGCCAGGATCCAAGGATTGGGGGTGGACCCCGCGGGGCTATCAAACTGTCCCGGCATGATCTCTAGTCGTGTCAAGGAGTATACCGAATTCAAAAACGGTAAAGACTGATCGGAGTGGTCGGGCCCTCGGTTGATGTTCAAGATATTGCTGGGCATGTCGACCTTACAGTGGATTAAACGGAAGGTGGGAATGGGGAATTGGCCAGGCGGTTTTCCCTGTGCCGGCTCCCATTGTGACGGGTTCCAGCCAATGTGTACTCTATAAAGACACATTTTCTGGCAAGCAGAGTAGGTGGAGAGAAGGATCCCAGCTGTTTCAATATGTCAGCGATGGCGGGAAATGGAGCTCCGACTGAAAGCCAATACCTTGTGTTGCGGTCATGGATGCATGCGTCAATAGTCTGTCTGAGTACCCTGTGTTCTTCAGTTCAGCAGGCAGCTCGGCCCATTTGCTGTCAGGGTTTTGATAAATCAGCTTGATCTGACCGACTCTGGTTACGCATATCAACGCGCCTTTATTAGCCGGGTGGAATGGCCCGACAGGGCGTCGACGGAAAGGCGAGTATGCCCATCGACCATTCACCTTGGCTGCTTGGTGAAATGCATGCACCTATTTTACTATGTTAGAGTCCTTTCACTCCTGCCCTGATCTATCTTGATGGATAATGGTAAGGGGGCTCAACGTACGTAACGCTGGGAGTTCAGCCACATCATTCCAACAACCTGGTTGCCATCGTCGCCAGAGTCAAAAGAGGCTTGACGCAAACCTGTGATGCTGTTCAATGCAATGGATATGGAATATATTGATATGCGACCAGAACAGTCGACAACAGCCAGTTCTGAACCGGTCTCATTCCATGATAGGTGGGCCAATTGATTGCCATTATGGGCTTCCAATACCGGTGCCAAGGATGACTCTTCCCCGAGCACCCATTTACCATCTGATGGACGGCACTGGAGATGGCGGACAATAACCCGGAGTCCGTCTGTGGAAATAGATGCAATGCATCCCATCCGAGACCAGGCGATTTTCCTAGAAGGCTGTTAGTTCTAGAATGCGGATGTGGAGCATTCTTCCAAGCTTACTGGCAGCACCCTAATAGACGCATTTCATCTAAGCATTGTGCTAGACCTTTGATTGGGGAGGTGGCCGGCAAGCCCAGCTCCAGGGAGTTGGGTTCTCCAAAGAGATCGTCCACATTGATACCGTCCTCCATGATCAAGGGCATAATATTTGTTCACTTGTCAATTGTGTTTGATAATCAGGGAATCAATACAGCAGCATGGCTTCATAGAGTTTCCCGGATCATTGAATATCAGATGGGCTTTATTATTATTTGGTCAAGAAGGGGGGGTGGGATTGATTCCCGAGATCGGCGCCTAATGTTCGATGAGATGTCACCAACACCAACAACGAAGTCACAATCAATGCAGCAATTCCAGACTTCAATATGAGGGGGACCATAGACCAAATCCAGCTGTTCCTATGCCGTCAGCGCCTGGACCTCCAGGGACCAGTGGATTTCCCAGTGATGTTGATTAGTCAGATCTCGTGACATGGATCAGGTGACGGGTAGCCCTGCCAACGACAACCGGCCAATCATAGGGATATCAGGTGACCCACTATATAACAGAGCGAATCACCACTGAGCCCTTGAACTGTCAAAACATGGAAAACAGAAAAAAAAAATGGAAAGCAAAATAGGAAGAAAAATAAGGAAAAATAAGAGAATAATAGGAAGATCATAATAGGAAGTATTGAGATGCACTACGAGAGTGTGAAAGGGCAATTGACTATTATAAACAACCCTACAAAGTACCATCAATGGGGTTTCAAAAGCATCAAAGAGGCTATTACTGGAGCACCTGGGCATTTCCCTCTTTATTCCGAAGTATATGCGTAGCAGTCTTAAACCCACAACCGTTCGCATCAAAACAACGTCGAGTCCCACCCTTCCTAGTCATTCGGTTCGGTCAAATCAATTTACTTCTCTCCAGTTCAACCACATTCCTACGGGAAATCCCCATACCTTCAGCCAAAACAAAGGGTGTTTTTGCTGCGGGTCGCCCTTTAATTCCTTTTTTTTTTCTCCGACCCATAGAGCCCTGAAGTGCACGAGTTTCATTGCCCTTCCCACCCCCCCAAACGCTGACCTCATCGTCAACTTCCTACAATCCGTGGATTTTCTACCTACAACTCCTCTTGCTCTTTTCTACCCTTTCTCCCCTCTATCTCAAGGTCTTAAACGTCATTGATCTTTATTGATATCTATTGCCCAGACACATATGATATCTCTTTTCGAGGTTTTCTACGGTCTCTGAGCAATTTGAAGATACCGCCCGGTTCTTTTCGCCCCGATTCCCCCTGGGGGTGAACATCACTCCTACGCTGTTACACCTTTCAGCCCATTCGCAACTCCCACGCAGCCATGGTGGATTTTAATTTAGATTTCTCATCCGATTCGGAGTTGAGCTCCGTGCCCCCATCACCAACATTAGCAGCACAGTCATCACCAGAGCCAGCAGAGCGGTACCCAACGCCTTCATCCCAAGAGGGAGCTGAACCTGCTGAGGGTTCTGCACGCCAAGCCCGTCCCGCAAAGAGGAGACGCAACCCCTTACCAAAGGAACGGACCACTCAATATCTCGATCTATCCAAATCTCTCTATGAACAAAATGATCAACACCATTTGCTTGTTCAAACTCTGCGTCATCAAAAGGACATTGTCGTCATCGCTGGCGCTGGCATTTCCACGGCTGCGGGTAGTAAGTTTCTGCTTTGGCATTCTGCCGTATCCGAACCAAATCTTAACTCTACACATAGTTCCGGACTTCCGTTCCACAGACGGTCTCTTCAAATCATTGCAAAAGAAACACAACTTGAAAGCTTCCGGCAAGCTTCTATTCGATGCTGCCGTCTATCAGGATGATGCATTGACCGCCCCCTTCCATGAAATGGTCCGGTCGCTGTCAGAAGAAGTTGCCAATATCAAGCCCACCGCCTTCCACAAAATGCTCGCCCGATTAGGTATCGAGTCTCGCCTGAAGCGACTTTATACCCAAAATATCGATGGCATTGAAACCTCTATGGGGCCACTGGCAACCGAGGTACCGCTTAATGTCAAGGGTAGTTGGCCGGTCACTATTCAACTGCACGGCAGTATTGAAAAGATGGTATGCCAGAAGTGTCGCTACCTCGACAACTTCAAACCTGATATGTTCATGGAAGCCGACCCGCCCGCTTGCGAGGAATGCACTGTGCACGACAAAGTCCGCCAGATCGGCGGTCAGCGGAGTCACGGAATCGGCCGCATGCGCCCGCGCATCGTCCTCTACAACGAGCACAACCCCGACGAAGAGGCAATCACCTCCGTGATGAACGCCGACATCAAGTCCCGCCCCCGCGTCCTTATTGTCGCCGGTACCAGCTTGAAGATTCCTGGAGTCCGTCGACTCGTCAAAAGCTTGTGCACAATGATCCGCAGTCGCAAGGATGGTGTCACGATGTTCATCAACAACGAACCACCAAGCGGCAAAGAATTCGACAACTGCTTTGACTTGATCATCAAGGGGTCATGCGATGAAGTAGCGCGCGAGGTGAACCTGAAATCATGGGAGTCCGAGGATATTACCCCGTGCGTGTACGAATCCTCACCTGAGCCCATTCTCCACAGCTTCAATTCCAATGACGTTTCTGTCGTTGTCACGCCCAAGAAGAGACCTCGTGCAGATACTGGTCTCGTCACGCCTTCCTCCAGTCACGACGAGAAGCCGACGAAAAAGCCGGCTACCAAAGCTACGAAAATCAAGCTCGAAAACCCAGCAAGCAATGGCCGATCCATCGAGGACATTATCAAGAAAGGAAAGCCTGCTGCTCGCAAGCCTACCTCCAAGTTCATCACCAAACCTGCCCCCAATCCTCGTCCCAAGAAGGCCGCAACAACTGCAGCCTCGAAAAAGCGTGGCGTGCCCGCCGCCCCGGTCAAGAAAATCACGTCGTTCAGCCGTGTTACCAAAACCTCTCAATCCGCTGGCACGTCCGGTACAAAGGCCGACGGCAAACCTATGCAACCGGTCCCAGCGGGCGCCTCGAGGAACAATGGTCCTCTCCCAAAAACAGAGCAATCCGAGAAAGCAGACATGCTCATTACAGAGTCTCTTCCTCGGCCAGTGGCTTCCTCCTGACTGTTTTATGTTCCGGTCATGGTATTGATATTCTATTCTATGTTGACTGCAAGTTCATGACATGATGCATGGTTCCAAATGGCGTCCTTGGTGTTCATTTTTTTTTATTGCTCTTCAAGTGCTACCTTCACTGCTCCCCTATCCCTTCTGGGATTTGCATTTCTTTACTATTTTTACATACTTCCTCTTCGTGGACTGTATTCTTACTTGCATCACCTGCGTTTGCTTCAGGCTGATGATTGCTGCTGTCCTCTTTTCGAAAGATACCATTGATAGACCACGGTTTCTCGCATGGGTCGGGCGTTTTCTCGGGCAAGAAGCTGGCTTGTCCAGCGTCATGGGGTTTCCTTATTTCAATTCTCTTTTCCATTCTTATTTTCGCTCATGCCAATATGCATGGGTGTACGGAGTACACATTTGGATTATCTAAATGAGATATTCCGGACTTGAGTCCCACCTCATACAATTGATAGGTGCTGTCCTGTTTAATACTTATTTCCTTGTTCTTCTGGGATACAATGTTGCCTCTTTTTCTTATCTATGTAATATTTAGTATAGCAGGGTATTGGAGTTGATATTAGATATTTATTTTGCACTCTTGGCTGTGCAACTACCGCACGTCGAGGATTGATATATTATATTTTGGACTTCATCCAAGTAAAACCTACCATCTTCGACTGTATCCAAGTATATCTCAACAGAGCGCAGCATAAAATCCATTCGTCATTATGTGTATAGTACAGCAGAAACATTCTTTTCCTTTGCCAGTCAACCTCCCCCAATGCCGTCCAAGATGAGTCGTCTTTAGCTCATTCACATATAAACCCCTTTGATACGGCCTAGATAATTAGCCCAACCCAAGATCATCCCGCAACTGACTACCAGGCCCATCCTCATCTTCATCCGTCTCCTCAGCATCGGGATCATAAGGCCCCCTCCTCGCGCCAGGCTCACGGTCCAAATCCTCCACATGTTCAAGGTTGTCCTCACGCGGAGCACGATCCTCCTCTTCCTCTTCATCATCCTCACTCTCATCGTCTTCTTCTTCCTCTTCGACATCTTCCTCTTGAGTCTCATCCCCATCATCCCCAGCGGGCGGGCCAACAGGTGCTTCCACATCTCCGTCCCGCTTCACCCTTTTCGCAGGATTATCAACCATCTCGATATCACCATCGGCCTGAGTCGGGCCCTCGCCTAACGCATCCTGCGTGGAGCCATTCTCATCAACCTTCTTCGGCTTGCGCTTCCCAGCTTTGATTTCCATGTATGCTTCGAGTTCCTGTTCGAGCCGGCCGCGGAAAGAGTCGAGTTCTAGCTCGGAGAGGGCGTTGAAGACGTCTGATGGGGCGATGGTGCGTTTGAGGGTTGCATCGTTGGCGCTAAGGTTTTATCGAGTGTTAGTTCGATGTATCATACTATGGAATAGAGTAGGACAAATCGAGATTTGCCATCCCATGTTTTGGACTGGAGGACTCGAATACGAAGGCGAAGGGCAGCGGGGCAAGGGTGAAACATACTGTGAAGACAGATAGGAAACAAACACCGTAGCAGCCTTTTGCATAGCCAACACGGCGTCTTTCTGGATTGTCGTATTCGGCGGGAGAACAGACTTGGCGAGACGAATCGTCAATGAGCGTGGGAGGAGATAGTCCTGCAGATTACCGGAGGGAGCGTTAGCCTAGTCTGGTTCCCTTTTTCAAATGTCGTATATTAAGGGACTCATTGGATATGGATTCATCCTGCAATACGCAATGCACGTTCATATCTCTGGCTTTATCTTCTTACCTCGACACTCGCGCCCGCCTCAGCCCGAGCCTTCAACTGCTGCTCCGTCGCAAAGATGGGCTTGTCGGTCTGCGGTGCTGGGGGCGACTGCTGGAGCAGGGAGTCATCAGGATCAGCCGGTGTCACCGAGGACGTGGATTTGCGAGGTGGCATTTTTGTAGGTTTGGGGCGGATATGCCTTCGTGCTGGTTGCGCGGTTTAAGGGATCGGGGGGGTTAAAGATTCGGGGCCCCCCTTGGATATTGAATCGACTCAAGGCCTGATTTTTTCTCTCTAAACAGGACCTTGGGGTTGTATTTGGGCTTGAGCTGTGGTCATGGGCTGTGGAGATGGGACGACGTTCGAGGGTTGCAAGGAAGACGCGCCAACGCGTTGGATTTCTCGATGCGCGAGTGGGGGCTTGGCGGTGATGTCTACTCTATTTCGACATAATCGCTATTTCTATCTTCATTTTTACAATAATAAGTATTACGATCTACTATTTTGGGTGGTGTATTTAGAAAGAGTCATTTTTACTAATGTTTTTATACCACTGAAATTGAGATCAAACCTAGGGAAGGATGGAATGCCAACATAAAACGCCCACTTTTTGGTATCCAGAAAGATAGAATCAAATGAGATAATGAGTTCATAACGCGAGCAAGAAGACCAGCCCTTACTCGGCCATCTCCTCATCATCACCTTGTCCGTTGCCCCAGAGACCCTCGATACTGAACTCCTTGGCCCACTCGGTGACGACCTTTGTGGTGTCGACGCCAGGCTCAATATCGCCGGCAGGAGCATCCGCCGAGACCACGGGAAGCACGGGCGCATTGGCCCAGCCTTGGATGCGTCCGTCTCTCCAGTCGTTGATAACGGTCATGGCAGCGCTCTCGATGTTAGGGACACCGCGCTTTCCGAGACGGCCGCGCTTACGGGCGACCTGCACCAAGAAGTCGGTGGTCTTGTCGCCATTGCTGGGGAAGAGGGCGGTGATGCCGTACAACTCGAGCATCTTGGCGAGGAGGTTCTCCGATGAAGATAGACGCTTCATCAGGAGGTTAACTGCGGGGATGGGATCCTCGATCTGCTTGGGGGGAACGGCGTTGAGGAGAATCAGACGCGCCTGGTCTTCTTGCTTCTTGTTCTTCTTGCTAGACTTGTCACCGGAGTTGGGGAAGACGATTCCGGGTGAGTCAATCAGCTTAAGCTTGCTGTCCAGCTTGACCTGGCGCAGGCTAGTGGTGACGCCAGCCTCGGCCCCTGTCGGGCATGCGTTGCTGGAGCCCTTGTTCAGACGTGCGGTGAGTGCGTTGATGACGGACGACTTGCCGACATTGGGGTATCCAATGACACCGACAGAGATGGCGCGCTTCAACTGCTTGGCGCCAGCGTATGACTTGAGGGCACGGAAGAGCGTATCCGAAGTACCCTTGACCGTCAACTGCTTGTGGTCGAAGCTGTGTGCGTTGGCAGTGCCGCTGGATGCCTTAAGGGGGAGAGTGGGGAAGGAGCGGCGCAGGTGAAGCAACCAGGCCTTCAGCACTGGGGGCGGAACCAGATCGATCTTGTTCAAAATGAGAATCAACCGCTTGTTGCCACCGTCTGCCATCATGATCTCGCGCTCAATGTCCTTAGAGCGGGTGCCCTCGGGGTCGCGGGCATCGAGCACATATAGCACGACATCGGCGTTGTCGGTGACCTGCTTGAACACCTTGTCGAATTGGCGTCGTGAGCTCTCCTTTGAGAAAGACTTTGAGTTTACCAATGGTGGGGCAGACTCGTCAATAGTTGCGCCGCCCTCCTCATCGTCCTCGTCCATCTCGTCGTCGTCATCTTCATCTTCCTCCATGTCTTCGTCGTCGCTTTGGTTGTCCTCATATTCCACGGCACGAGCGCGTGCTGAGGCGAGAAGAGCAGCCATGGGGTTGGAATCATTGCCCTCGGCATCCATATCATCATCCATAATATCGTTCTCGTCAATGTCGACAGCCTCGGTGCCAGTCTTGGCGGGCAGGCCTTCAGCCTTGCGGGTTCGTGCCTCTTCCCGAATACGCTGTTGCTCCTCGGCCTTCATGCGCTTCCGCTCTTCGATGTCATGGAGAAGCTTGTCCTTGTTGGGGAAGAGATTGGGAATGCCGGGGTCCTTCTTAAGCTTTGACCGCCATTCAGGGTTCTACAGAGAAAATAGTCAGAACCTTCGATCAGAACTTTCATAAAGACATTGTCCGTAATACCTTCTTTGCGAGCTTCTTTTGCTTTCTCTGCTTCTGAACTGCAGACTTTTCAATCTTGTGCCTCAGGCGGACGGGAACCCGCTTGGAAGTCTTGCCTGTAGACCGTTAGAAGTGCCCTCAGGACTGCGTGAGCGAGTGGTGAAAAAGAGTATCATACCGAAACCGCTCTTAGTAACCATTTTGAATGCACGTATTTGTTAATCACAAAAAAAAGTGCACAGCAAACCCTCAAAGTCTGTCCGCAACGGGAGTAGAAAAAGTTGAGTGCCAAGATTTCCCAGCCGATAAGCGGATTAGTAGTTAGGCCGATCTCCGATAATTTTCAAATGACTAAGCTTGCGGAACAGTTGCTTGATTAGGTAGGTACGTACCTGGCTCGGTGGAGGCACCGGGTATAAGCAAGAAATATATAATCACACCATACGGAGTAGTCTCTGTTCGCTTCTTTTCAAAGTTATTATTTCTATTACTGTTCATACTTCGGAGAAATTTCTTGACAATCTTCTTGTCTTTCACTCAACATCGGCTTCTCTGTCTACTCACCATTGCTCTGCGCATCAACTCCCCCCACATCTCCATTCCCCCACCATGACCTTAACAACAGGATCCTTCTCCGCGCCTGCGGAGGTCCACACATTCGATGGCCTTCTTTCCGACTTCGATGGCACAATCGTGGATTCCACTGATGGTATTCAATCCCCTCAAGCCCTCCTAGGATCAATTGGAACCAATGCTAACCATCCGGTACTAAACAGCCATTGTGAAGCACTGGCACGCGTGAGTCATAGACCCATCGCAACATGGCCTCCGCGATCAGAATATCTAACATAAATCCCGCTTCAGAATTGGCCAGGAGCTCGGCGTCGACCCCAAGACTATCCTCGCAACCTCGCATGGTCGCCGCAGCATCGATGTAATGGGCCTATATGACCAGACCAAGGCCAACTGGGACTGTAAGTATACCGGACACCCGGAATTGATCAATATCTTCCAACATAACCATAGTATAGAAACTGACATCTCCTCACCACAGATGTCAACGAAATCGAAGGCCGAATCCCAAAAGAATATGGCTCTGACGCTGTCGAGATCCCCGGCGGCCGCGACCTCCTCGCAGCCCTTGAGACCTCCGGCGCAAGATGGGGTGTTGTTACATCCGGCACGCGCCCTCTAGTTGACGGCTGGCTGGAAGTGCTTAGCCTCCCACGTCCCAAGAACCTGGTGACGGCAATGGACGTGCCGCTCGGCAAGCCGGACCCGCGCTGCTACCTGCTAGGCCGAAAGCAGCTTGGCATCGAAGAGTCAACATCGATTGTCGTACTCGAGGATGCACCTTCTGGTATCCAGGCTGGTAAGGCTGCTGGGTTCAAGGTGATTGCGTTGAAGACGACGCACTCGCTGCAGAAGCTTCAGGAGGCTGGCGCGGATTGGATTGTGGAAGATTTGACGAGCATTTCAGTCAAGGCGGTTGTCGATGGCCAAGTCCAAATCGAGATCAGGAATGCGTATCAATAGATGGTCGTAACCATCTCGGTTTCACCGATTCGCTGCTGCGTAACGGGGTTTTCAGGTTTGAATACACAGCCTAAAGATCTCATGTTAAAGGTCTCATGGCTTTTTTAGAATTAACGTGCACTACATACAGGTTAGATTGGTACATATATATACATATGCATTTGGACTTTGTTATCAACCTTGGATTTGTTTGCTTTAGCATGGAAGTTAGTCGAGCTAGAGGAATTTTAAACTGGCAAACGTCCACCATTTGTTCGTATTTCCCTGGAGAACGATGACCACAGCTGGTGGTGCTGAAAAGAGTACTTGGTATCTACGTAGAGAGGAAATCCGGGGGGTTTTTTTTTGCTGCTGTCTTAGGCTATGTGATTGGTTCTGATGCCCGTTGGACCTTTTGAGCAGGGCTGAATTGTCCAAGCACTACAGAGTAAGCTCTGCATATCCTGAAACGACACAAAGATACAAAGCTCTCAAGCAGCTTAGGTAGTTCCCCGGGCGGGGATGTAATCGGGCCACGCAAGGTGCAAGATGCAAGTTAGAAAGTACATATGCACTAGTTCCACATACAATCCACCATGTGTATGTAGCTACCTCGAAGCGGGTATGAAGCTCATCCCAGCCTTGCACATGAATTGGCGGTGCTATCATTGCAGTACGGAGTACGGAGTACAGATTCGTTTAATGACAGCCGACACATCCACTAACAAGGATGATGGCACGTCTAGATGATTCGGCCGGCAAGGATCAAGCTATATAGCTGTTGACACAGTAACTGGACGCCCTAGACCACCATGGCGTGCGTCGCGGACACCTTCCGTGGGTATGCAGCAACGCAATCCTTGCAGCTCAAAGCCGGATTATTCTACAGGGCGTTACAGCATGCAAATGCACCCGCTACTCGCATCTGATCCAATCGTTCGGGCAGGGCGGGCCGCGAACTACCGTTCATGCACGCTTGAGCCCTGGTTGAATGTGGAACTAGGCCGTGAGCACGGAAATGCATCCCCGAGGATGACTTCAGATTTCGAGGGGGGGAGATACTGTCTCTGCTCTTATTGGGGCTGGGCTTTCTGGCTGCAGCTGCAGAGGTTTCTGCAGCTGCAGCTAGCTGATTTGGGGAAGGAGTTAGATGCTCACGAGGATATGGAAACTTTTTCTCTCGGCAACTTTGGAAGAAACGCATTGTGTGGATGTCATTGGTGGGCCAAGTGGTTTGGAGATGGACACATCCTACCTAACTAAGGGAGCTTGGGGCGAGAGCAGAGTTTCTCTCCAATGACGTTGAGGAAGGCTATTCGGTCGGTGAGAATAGCATGCAAGGGGGCTACAACATAGTTTGCATCCCGCGGGAAGAGGTGACGTTCGAATGCAGACTCCTGAATATCATCACAATTGACCGAACCAAGAAAAGCGATATGGGAGAGCGCTTTTTTTTTCAATCTGGAGGGGTTCCTCGTGAACCTATTACATTGTACTCTGTATGAAAATGTATGATGACGGATGAGGGGTAAATGCAATCTCATCACACACAGCAATTCTGTTCTCATGCGCTACCTAAATTCCGATCTGAACTGTCTGGGTTGAAGGAAGCGTCCAATCATGTTACAGACCGTTCCTCTGTAGCTAGTTTGGCAGATTGTTCTGCGATCTCGAGCACTAGCCCCACGAAAGTGACAAATGTATAATCCTAACCTTGGAAAGTTGTCCATATGCAGGGTGCTCGATATAGCTGCGCACCGCCACAGACCTTTTACCAGCGCCACAAGGGAGGGGGATCTATCACATTGACAGATCTGCACAGCTCAGCCACCTGGCTTCTGGTCACCGAAATACTCCGGGCCCCTAAAACATCCTGGTTAACTAGTCAAGAAACCCACTAAGCCATGCACCGCCATCCATGAATGGATAGGGGTTTGATATCATTTCCGGGGGGTGGAGGATGATCCTCGGGAGGATCCCCAATTGACCGTCAATCTATGAAGGTTTGAAACCCGAGGGATATGTTGGATTTAATTTTGCTATCACACTGTCGATCATACCTCAAGATTTCTCGGGGGTTTGTGCCCCATTCTATTTCTCCTTCTTATTTTTGCACACCTGGGCACTGTGTGGTTGTTGCAAGGTCCGATAATTGAGATTGTATTTCCGGCGTAACGGTTCACATGAGATCCAATCAATAGTCGGATGGGGCGGAGGGATCCGTGCGGGAAATACGTTACGGATCGACCCAGGGGTCATCATGGCAGATCCCCCGAATCTTTTACTGAGTCGATCTGTATGCAACATAACTACAATAGCCTAAATATGTACTAAAGTACGAGAATGGGCTTTGTTGTACTTTGTATTCCGTACTTCGTATATTAGCAGTTGAAGGAGTAGAAAATATCAGAAATCGGGAATTCTCGGCCAGACTGGAGTGATATCAAACTGGTCCGTGTCCACGCTGCTCAGATTTGTCTATGATGTACTCCGTACTGTTCTCGCCATCACCTTGGACCATGAGACCATGAGACCATTTTGTTGGTGCGTTGGTGGGGCATGATGTGCCAAGACAAAAGTGAGCACAATCGCCCAAAGAGAGGAGTCATGAAGCCATCGGATGTGATGTGATGTCCGGACACCGATACGCGCCCTGATGCACATGAAGCTTGAATTGGAAACCTTCTAGGTTTCTACATCGTCACAATCACATCCATCACAGCATTACTTCCAAAGAGCAGGAACAGTGACACACCGCGAGACAAAGTTTGAGAGAATCCAAGAGCCACGTTGTGTACGAAGTACGAAGTACTCCCCTATGATCTACCTAGTCCGTGGGGCTGCTAGTAGTCTCAAACAAGGTCTTTGCTATGGGTTTTTCTCCGGATCGATCCCTCCATATTAACAATCGCTCCACCATAGTCTTTTGATCTATATGACTGGCTCACAGAGCATGATCATCCTTGGATCACTATAGCGTTGGCGGCTTTTTGGGTCAGATCATGCTACCAAATAGAGTAGTCAAGGGAGTAGATCACTAAATTGAGGGCGAGGGGTGCTCTTGTGGCTTATAGCTCGAGCAGAGGTTCCGCTAGACCGGTTCATTGTTGCCTTATTCTCTCCGGGTGCCACTATCCATATGCCAACGTCAGAGTTTGGGCTCCCTATGCGATCCTATCACGGTAAAAGACAGGCGTTTGAGGGTCTCTCGACTCCATAGTTTAAGATTCGTCGCCCAGAGATCTTTAGTGTTTTTGCTGTCAATTGCTCCGAACAGCCAAAGTAAAAGATTCTAAGATGTCCTATAGCACTCCGTACAATATACAATGCACACTGTACGGATTAGCTGTCTAAGTATCAAATTACGCGTGAGATGAAACGTAGTTGAGACAAAAAAAAAAAAAAAAGGGAGCATTGCGCCTTGGGCAGCGGTCTCCGGATGCCCGGGCAGTGATCATCTTTAGGCGCATGTGCGTGTCAAGGGGGTGGACAAAGTTGGCTGCAACCCTCGTGACTTGCGTGCATCGAGCGACTTATTCCAAGACGTTTAGCGCTTGTCGAGCAGGGTCCAACCAGAGGCCCGGGAAAAGGCAAGATGGTGTCACACACCTGGAACATGGTTGGAGCCTAGAAGAAGCCGAATAACAGGGGGCACATATTATGCCCCAGATAGGGGGGCGCCACATCCAAAGAAAGAGATAAAGAAAAAAGCTCGGCAGATCCTTGAGTGATCGACGGGGGATCTGTCGACTATTGATGTTTAGTTTGTCTTGGCCGCTGCCATGCGCCCGCACTAGTATAGATTTGTGCTAGCGGGAAGGGGAACCTGGTCAGAGAGAGGCAGTTACAGATAGCTGATACTTAGTTGCTTCAGGAGTCAATAGTCTACGGAGTATTATACAACGTACCTTTGTACATAGAGTATGGAGTAAATATCATCGTTCTCCATCATTGTAACGATCCTCGAATCATATAAGGGTATCATTGTACCGAGGGACTGCGTCCGATCGTCTGACCCAGAGCACCGGTCTCCGGTCACCCTGGTACAGGGAACACTTGGAAGCCTCGGCCGGGATATTTAGGGAGTAAATGTGACTATTTACTACCTAAAACAGATTGATTATGCAAGTTTGATCACGGTACGGAGTACTCTGTACCGATACCTACAGCTTTATAATGTCTTATGTGTAACTTGTAGCTACAGGCTACAAACATACATACATACTCGGTACTTCGCACAGCATACAACATTGCACGTAAATTAGGTGCTTGCTAGTAGATCCGCTGGTTCTTCTCTCCAAATTAAATTCTTCTACGGAGTATAGTGGACATGATTTTCTTTGCAGCGATAGGAACCTCCTGGGATCAGACATGACGCTAATGCAGGAACTGGGATTTTTTGCGTTTGTGTTTTTTTGGTTTGTAAAATTCGCGGAATACTAAGATGGTTGTGCCGAAGCCTTGAGGGGACATTACAGGGTGTATCACATCGTATATTGTATATATTAAATTACCGCGGGAGACATCCGACCCAAACTCGGCTCTCCGCACTTGAACCCTGGCTCACCTTTGTTTACTCCGAAGCTTACTACCTACCTAGGTAATCGATGTACATTACATCGTAGGTATCACCAATGCTATACAACATAGAGTATGTTGTAGCAGGTATGGGAGAATATAGACCGGTATTTTCCCATGAATATTCATAAGAGATCCGAATGGGTTAGAAAGGGCTCCATAGAGCCTCGTATGCCTTAATTCTTTCTTTCTTTTCTTTTCTTTTTTTTCAGTCACACGTCCATGTTAGAATGAGTTCACGAGGGGGAGTCTGGACGGGATCGGAATTATGTTCTGGGCCAACTCTATTCTGGAAAGGAAACAAAATTAAAATAAAAAAAAATATCCATGATAAAGGATACATCGTAAATAAGAATAAAATAAAGAATATTCAAATCAAATAAAAATGTGACTCTGATGCAAGAATCAGGCCGCCACCCCCTACCGAGCGGGCGGTAGCGCGACTCCACGGGCTAAAAAAGGATGAAATACGGTGGGGGGTAATTCAGCCTTCAATTTGTGTGGGTATTCTTCGCATCATTGGATTGTGTACTCCGTAGATGGGGGAAGAGGAAGACGATCCCAGATCTGAATTGCTTTTCCTACGTTGTATATTCTTTTTGATTATTCTTAATATATATTTTTCATAAATTAAATATAATTCTTTTTATATGTGTTGGTATACTTGAAGTACCTCGTACTCCGTACTCCGTACAGGTACCCGCAATCCCGGTACTCATAGTAAATAAGTCTCATGTACCCAGTACTCCGTACAGGCACAGACCTTTTACAAGATTGTTTCATCTGGTTACAACCCGTTACTGGACAATACCCGCCCACCACCCAATCATACCAAGCTCTTCGGCAGCTGTGTATCGCGCTTTACCAGCCGTCACCCCCGATCTTCCCCCCAGCGCCTTCAAAGTCCATCTTTCTTTCTCTTCATCCTTTTTCTTCCCACACAGTCTTTTCTTTACGTTCCTTGGGCTCTTTCTTTGCTTTTTTTTCTTGGTTTATTTTTCCATGCACACTCTTTTGGGTCCCAATTCCCGAGTCTCTCCTTAATATCGACCATTATCACAAGCTACCACTGCTCATTTCTTTTTCTTGAATCACGGACTCCCCGTACTGCCACTCTTTACATTTACAAGCTCCCCGTCTCCATCGCCATAGGTTGACCAAACCGAATCTACTTCATGATATAGACCTCACTCCTCGAAGCTGCCACTTTCTTGTGCAGCATCTCCCTCCCCGTCTCTCTCTATCTCTCTTGCGCCTCTCCCACAACTTCCTCTCTCCTATACCTCCCTCCTTTCCTCTTCAGATCATGAGTTATATCCACCCCTCATGGAACTACCAGGGCCACCAGGGCATCCCAATGGACCAACACATGGCATATGACCCGTCCATGGTCCCTCCTCCGATGATGCACCACCCTATTGACGGCTATATGTACCCACACCCGCCAATGGAGATGATTGACTACTACCACCAACCGATTATGGACTACGACGAATACACAGAAAATCTGTCTCGACCACGGTTGACCAAGGAACAAGTTGAAACCCTGGAGGCCCAATTCCAGGCTCATCCGAAACCAAGCAGCAACGTTAAGCGTCAATTGGCGGCTCAGACAAATTTGAGTCTGCCTCGCGTTGCAGTACGTAAAACCAAGGGCTGGAAGCTTCTTGTGTACCCAGAGAGCTAATCGGATGAATAGAATTGGTTTCAGAACCGTCGCGCCAAGGCCAAGCAACAGAAACGCCAGGAGGAATTCGAAAAGATGACAAAGGCCAAGGCGGAGGCTGAGGAGGCTGCTCGCCGGAAATCAGAGACCTTGGACCAAATGTCTGGATCTCGAAAAGGATCGATTGCCAAGGAGGAATCGGAGAAATCCGCTACCCCTAAGCAAACACCTACCTCCACATCCAGTGGCCATGCCAAGACA